CTTTTACTCCGTACATGCCCCGTGTGCACCGGTGTCGTGTCTGCTGTTCCATTACCTGAACATCCATATTCTCTGCGGTGTGGTTTCAGACTCGATGTCTCATCGTCTGTCTATCGTCAGCTCTGTCTCACATGTAGATCGTAGAAGACTTCCCCCGATGCGTAGCAGTAAGCCAGATACTCGTCGACTGCGGACTTGTAGGTCCTTCGAATGTATGTTTTCTGTCTTCTGACGTAGTTATGTTGATCGCTCACTTAAGACTGACTTCATGTCACTGTCGCTCATAGGGGTATACAACACGGACGATGATTCGTGTTCGACACATGAGTTGCATCGTCTCATACTTAGGGTGGGGGAAACGTGCGATCTTAATTTCATTTGCTTTTCATGTTTAAGATGCTGACATGCACCTTGTTAGTATTGCAATCTTCCCAGATGATGTACGGGCGGTGCCAAAAGAAGATGGAAGCCTGCCCATCATGTCTTATTGGTATGGCAAGGTCGCCAAAATATATTTGAAGGAACAAGGGGACACCCATGTGAGCATACTAAAAGTTCAGACACGCCCAAACTCCTAATGTAGTCCGATGAAGGATGTCTGGCTGGACATACAGTGGTATTACAGACGGATGGACTTGGAGGATAATGGAGTAGAGTGCATTATTCTGTCATTCGCGCAATTGCTGCCAGGATACTAACACATTGAATGCAGCCTGGCTCAATACATGGGCGAGTATGAGCTTGTGCTCAGCGACCACATATCTTTAGTGGATATGACATGCGTCGAAGGTGTGTGTCGTGTGATCAATTGCCCACCATTTGACGCATTCCTGTTCATGTCAGACCATGCTTTGATCGTCAGCTATGATGAAGGCAACATTTCACAACGTCAACTACCACCCGAGACCCCATACCATCGTTGGAATGTGGAAATAAAATTTGTGAAGAGCAGGACGAAAGTGCGCCTTCATGGTATGAATCTTAGTGTAAGGCTATGGCATATTGTTTTCCGCTGTGTAAAATTCTGATCCGTTTGAAATCTCCAGAATCCACAGCGAGCATCGCAGTGTCGCTGCGATGCATGTGATCTTACGCTATACTGTCCCAGCATCTCCCAGCGATACTGCAGGAAATGCAAACAGTGGTTCAATCAAAAATGCCTGGATTCTCTTGAACTTCGGGTAGATCGACGTCCTACGCCAGTGTTGCCGGCTATATACAACGATATTCAGTTGGAGGCAGAGTTCCTCACCATGTTTACCATGCCAATTTGCCGTGGTGGTCCATTTGGGGTGGTCGGCAATGGATCTATTTATTCTCGAGCGAAGTTGCTCTTGAGAGAGGCGAGGACGCATGGTAGCATGCCAGAGGCATGGAGAGATATCCTGGTAGAGACAGATTCATGGGATCATGAGGGAACGAGCTATTACAGGTGCCCAGCTTGTGTAGATGTGTTATGTTGAATTGACTGTATGCTGCGTCTAACGGGTGACATTGATCCGACCTCATAGAGCCAAAGAACATTTCATAATGACTTTATGTAACAATGCAATGCACGATATCAATTTGTATTAGCATATGATCATTGACAAGTGTCCGATTTTCATGGATCCCCTTGTAGTATTGAGCGGCAAATAACACTTTTGGGCTTAGGCATTAACTCAATGCAGGATCGCTGCAGGATTATTCGAGGGTCTAATTCATTGCATCCAATCGGATCACGTTCCGATGAAGCGCTCGACCGATCAATCACATACAATAATCATTTGGGCAAGCTTGGAGCGATCCTGATTCCTGTAGCGAGTTGGCACACTGCCGCTGATCTGCACGCTATACCAAAAACGATTTAGATTTTGAGAGCCACCCCCTACTGTGCCAAGAACACGTTGTGTTGCATTGTCGCCGCATTTTATTTTCGTTCTGAATTACTGGTACCCTACATTTTTCTCTGTGCCCCATAGTGTCTCTCTGTCACCACAGAACATCTAATCCATGGATCCCTCGTTCACATTCCGTCACTGGAGCAAAAAAAATCTAGGAATGCTGATGAAATCAAAGGGGACAATCGAAGATGTGGATGGGGAGTGTTCATTCAAAGTCTCTGGAATGGCCTCACAGAGCTGCCCGATCGCTGCACACTATCGGGTGCCCCTTCGAGCCATCAACAAGAAATTTGGACTCTACAGGCATATTGTGACCCACCTGACCGACTCTCGAAACCCTCTGGCTATACAACTACGAGATACATACCTTTCTGTCATGGACTATATGCACGATGTGCGCATCGCATTTTTCACGGATGCTCGAGGATCTGCAAATCCTCTCGAAGCTGGATTTAGGTCTCCAGCAATGGATTACTATCTATGGTTGGACCATAAGGTCGGCGCCTTCCATGATAGGAGTCGTGAGATCCTGGAAAAGGATCATAATGTAACCTTCAAGTCCCTACAGAATAGGGAGGGCAATGATATCATAACGTTACGTATGTGGTCCACCATGAATCACCTCGATCTGTCTCTGATCTGCGATGAAGTTGATTGGAATGCCTATCACACGACTAACTGTAATGAATACGATCTGTGCGGTGTATTTCAGGGCTGTGTTTCCGAAGAGGATCTTCAACGACTTCTACATGCAGTCGATTCCTCTATGGATGGAAGTGACGTGCCCAAGGAATCACAAAGCCCGACACCTGTTCATTCGACGGACAAAAATAATCAGACCATATCTTTGAAAGATACCACGGTGTGTCCCTGCATACGGTTGAGTGTCTACTAACTCATCTTACTCATCCTGCCCTAGCCGGTCGATAGTGAGAAGCTGTTGGATGCAGTTGATTTATATGCAACTCTTGCTCCAAATGAATCTGCCAGAACTACCGTGGCTCGTTCCACAGACACAGTCACCACTGTCAATCAGACAACTGAAATACCAGATGTCGTGGTATGTTCAATCGCACTGTTGTGTATTATTTTCACCTCATGCTCCTTTAGTCACTGGGTGTACAAGCGGGAAGGACCACTCCTGGAGATGCGGTTGAAGATGATGCCTGCGTCGAAAGTACTGGCGAAAGTCCAAATTCTGCATGTTTACCAAAGTCGGTCTTGAGACCTGTATGTGCATTTCACGCCGTTTATACCGCATCTTATGAATCCTTGCAAGTTCCCACTTCCATTCGACTGGAATTACTGCAAGCGTGCCCTTCGGACCATGGGTATCAAGGCCACTCGTGTTGATCTTTCACGGTGGTTCATCGCACATATTGTAGTCCGATTACGAGAACTGCATGGACTGGATGAGGACACCCCTCTTGACGACGCCTTTCAAAACGGGTCTGTTAGTGAAGCCACCTATCAGGAGTACTGCGAATTATATGGCATATCAAATTTCCTGAGCGCGACACAGACCATTCCACAGGAGCGACAGAGTATCGCACAATTCTTTATTTCTGCTGCTCGTGGTCTGAGCCTGTCAAACATGCGTGTTGATTGTGCTGTCCAATGTGATGCAGAGTCGTGTGGGGCACCTGTGGACAGTGACAAAACATTTAACGATGATGGAGTGCAACTGGAACTTTGTACGCACCACGAAGCCAGTGAACCACATGGAGCGGACGAAGAATATTATACCAAAAATTTTGCACTTCCTGTTAGTTGATTTACATGCGGCCTGTCGTGATGAATCTACTGATGTGATTGATGTAGGATTACATTTCAGATGTGCTACCATCAGGCATCGACGCAGAATGTTCTACAGGTCGATCACACATCCCATCACACTGTACAGAGCAATCGATCACACTGGACTGTGATAATCCTTGCTTGTCTGCTTCCGACTGGACCCAAGCGGCTGTCGATATATCCAATCACCAATATGATGTTCCCGCTTTACATACCACCTCTTCCAGTGACCTACTTGCAGACAAACCTAGTGATAGTGACAACGATACCGTCCCTCTGACTAGATTGAGATCAAAGAATCTCAAGAAAGACAAGCCCTCTATGACAGTCACCGACACAAGGCGTCGTGGAAAATCGCAGTCACAGCACGATATCGACCCTCAGCCGAGCCTTGTAAGACCTGTGGTATTTGCTGCCTCGCGGTCACAGGGGAAAAAGAAGGCGAGGATCGCATCACCACCAGTGGCCAAATATACCATACAGGACCTGATTGATGCGTGTCAGATCGATTCCACAAGTATTCCGCCATCGGTAGGTACTCCATACATCTCTATCCAATCTTGCATGTTTTGACCAGATAGATTCACGCATTTCTCCTTGATCCCAAGAGAGAAGAGTTCATCCAAAGGGAGATCACATCACAATATGATTCATTATTGTGTCTTGCGCGATTTGTAGCTTCCGCCCTGATGAAAAACTCCTTGTCTGAAGCTGTTATCACTGCAGCGACATCGTTCATGAAAATTGAATGGTGGCTTGAAGATGTCGCCGTCGAGTGCAAGGATGCATCGGAGAAGAATGACATGTCACTCTCCCCATTTGTGAGTGACAGTGGAGTGAACGTTGTGTGTGTTGCTCATCTTCTGTGTGTTGGAATTCACACCAGGCACACAATGTCTTGGTCGAGCTTTCCAATCGTGCCTCACAGGATGAATCATCTCTGAGAACTGCGTTGGAGAATTACATCTCGGTTAATGTATGTATATGCCATATTACACTACAGCTAAACTGACACAACTTTGTTATCACAGGCTAACAACGAACTAAAACATGTTGTGACCTGTGCTTCGATATTTGTGCAAGCTACGGGTGTCACAGTCGGGAGCAGACAAACAGTATGAAGGTGGATTTAGGATATTAGCCACGATCAACAAGGCACGTCAGGGGAACATACTGGCGTGACACCATGGTATCGCGTTAAAGGCTACACATGTACAAGATCTAGGTATCATATGATGACATCCTACAATGGAGTGAATTTCCTCAATACCATGTCTAGCTTCTCCCTCTCCATTAGATTCCCTCTGTCCAATTGATCTCCGCCGTATAGTAGCACGGGGGCGGTCTTTCTTTTAGTGACTCCGAGATGCACCAAGATAGCTACCGCAATATCTATACTTGGCCTTGCTGTTTCCGTGTCTGCTACAGCTGACTGTGGTCCCCCCTTTGCGCGATATTGCTTGCCTTGTTTGACCATGATGCACAAGGCTAGCATCGATCTTGTGAATAGTCCTTGTCGTGCAATGTTAGTCATAACAGAAACCGAATTATAATCCACCACTCATACGTATTCTGGGGGACAAACGCGGTATTCCGATCATCATGCGTCGAAATGTCTCAAGGGCATTGTGGAGCATCTGGTTTGTCAAACAGTCACCGGAAGAAACGTCCAGGTAACGAGATATTTCGGTGAGGTGCATGCACCCGTAGTGATAGAAGTGCCCCCCTGTGGCAAAGGATGCGACTGGTGTATAGACAGCATGCACTTGAGCCGGGGGCATGATTCTGCGAGTCAGTAGGTCAGTGCGTGTGTGATATACCAATGGCCATCACGCACAGAACATCTCCAGGATATAGGGTGATCACCTCGACATCGCAGTGGGCTCGTATCCAATCTTCATTTTCGGTGAAGTTGCCTAGCCGTATTGCGATCTCTTGTAAATGTTTGCGATCGTCGTGTCGATCCTTTGGCCAGAATACGACCCAAAACTTGACACCTACTTCCATCCTCGCCCACGTTAAGGACCCCTCCGCATCGTGATGAGGATATGTCAAGAACCCAGCATGGTGTAGGATAGCCCACCCCTTGACAGTGAAGTTTTCTGGATGTACCTTGGACGAGATTGGGACGTCATATGTCGTGTGGTTCCACCCATGAACGAGGCCGTGATCGAGATTTCTGTCCTTGTTGTTAGTCGCATTGTAGGGGTGGTAGATGGAGTGAGACATACTTCAAGGCATCTGGGAGTGATGCCTGCGCGAGTGGAATGTCTAACACACATTGTATCGCCCCTGGATCCTTCATAGATTTGAAGAAATCTTTGAGAAGCCCTGCCTGAGTTACCCTTGTATGATCCATTGCACGGGCCTTGACATCTTATGATGCAATCAGTCTCCAGCATGTGTTTTGGTCGACGATTCAGCCCTACCGTGCACCCATACAGCTCTATTCGGCGAAATTGCGTAGTATTTATCCAGAAACTCTGCTGTCAATTCTTCGCCCACATAATGATTTCCGATCCCTCTAATAACGACTGGCTTGTTTTGACTCAGTGACTCGCTGATTGAATCCAGTATGTCGTGTGTTGGAAGGTCCTTCATGGAGAAGTGAACCACATATTTGGAATCCGGTAAAGACACTGGACATTGAGCGAGATATTTAATGATTGGGATGTCTACAGCGTCGCAGAGATTGATATCGTGACCGTCGTACACTGCTGGGAGTATTGTGGTGTGTCCATCGTTCCATCGTACCATAGGACTATTCTTCGGGACCTCTGTCCCCAACAATCCGATTGTCAAGTCATTTGGTCTTTCATCTGACATCCTTGCTCAGTGTGCTTGGATAGGGATATGCGCGCGTCGCGATTGTAGATCGTCAGTGATGGTACAGTGTATGGCCGAAATGCGGTATCGATAAATTCCTTATCACACGCATTTGGGCCGATAGCAATCATCATTCAATTGAACTGGGCACAAATACTGTACCCATAGATATCAAACACGCTACACACCACATCATTGACATTACGTAATGTGACATGGTAAATGACTCGGCCTCTGCGATACAATACTTTACACAATGAATGTCATCCTGTCCTAGATGCAAGCAGGATGCATTTTTTCAACGCTTGATATAACGAAACCTCTATTTACCGCTCATGCGCTTAAACCAACGCTGGGGAATTTGTGAAGTCATTCTGGTGTTGAAGCAACAAGGATCCTCACATCTTCGTCCTCCTTTGATTGACCATCTGTCGGTGATTTGGACCTCATGTAAGACTCCCCAATAGCCATGTCACTCAATGAGTGAGTAGGCATCCTGGGCGGATCTACTCCCCGATTATCAGAATCACCATTGGATACCCTCTCAGAGGCAGAGATGTCATGAAGATCGTCGGTGTTCATGGCAGTGACCTCCTCACTCTCGCTGATGTTACCCTGGCGCGGAATGACCTGTGTTAGAGGGGGCTGACTCGTTGAGGATGAGCCACCTTCCATGTCATGGTCATGGGTGACGTGAGATGCGGATGCCATCCGGTCCGCTGGTGCAGCTTCGCCAATGGACGACATAACGGGTGATGAGGGACGATTAAAGAGCTCTGCTGTCCCACTCTTGGAACGCTTTGGATGCCCCCGTCCGCCTTGACTCTGTTCGAAATGGTGTTGAACAAGGTCAGATCGACGCGGGCAGTTCAGACAGGACAGGTACGTTACCTTTGGGGGAGAGAACGTGTTCGACATGGCCCTCTTCCGTTTTTGCTGTTCCGTTCCCTCTAGACGGTCAGTCGACTCTGAGATCTCCATATCATTGAGGGCCCCTGCTACATCTCCATCATCATCATCGACATCTCCTTCGGCATCCACGTCATCGGCATGTTCATCATCATCATCATCATCATCATCATCATCATCATCATCATCATCATCATCATCATCATGTGATGCGGCCTGCAACCAATTCAACTCGTCGTGCGATATCATGCTAATTTCAGGGTTAGTCAGGCTATATTTCCAGCCAATCTCATACCTATGAATAGGAGTCGGTAGTTCTGGTAGAGGCCTAAAGTTAGGGTGACTACTTTCGAGTCGCTGTTCAGATGACGCCTTTCCCAGCGCATGAAAGATATGTGCTAAGGATTGGGGATGCGTGTCGATGTGCACAAGCGCGGAATACAGACGGTCCATCCCTAGTGCCTCATGGAAATCGGCGTCGTTGTCGATCTCAAGACGCCCAGGACTATCAGGAATAAGTATTCCATCGACATCCCCGTCAATGGGACGATTTGCCAGCTGTCGCAATCGAAGCAGGATCCATGTCCCAAGCTTCAAGAAAATGCGCGAGTTACCTTTCTCAAACGCAATCCTGTTCCATTTCTCCCAATCTTGAAGGGTGGACGGGAGCTCAACATCATTATATTCCCCTGCATCCTCCTGTGTGATGTTAGGCTGCACGTTGTCTCATATGGAGGTATGGCAGACTCACAATGGTGCCTGTGGTGTCGCCAATGTTGTGATCATATTTATCCTGAACCCCATCAGCCTAATGGATGCGGTCAATTGACAGTCCAGAATCACATAACGATGACATTACCTTGTCGCCTCCCAACACAGCCTTACGGGGTTGCTTCTGTGATAGCGCATCTTGCTGCAGGCCGTCAGTTGATATAATTCTGTCGTCCTAGCGGGACATACCATTTGATTTGTGGTCTTTGAGTCGAATGTTGATCGTCCCTTCACGGTCGCTGATGCACTCGCTTCGTGCATGGTCTTCATGCCCTTATTTCCCCCATCTGCATCATACTTCTCTGTGTTAGATTATTTCAATTACATCGATCGGTCGTTACACACGATTTCAGGTGTTGAATGTGTCGCAGTATTGCCGTTAACATCCTATTAAACACGGTTCATTAGACAAGATAGCATTCGCATATGGACGAACAGACTTCATCTTCAGACTCGACAATTTCTTTTGATTTTCCTTTGGCGCTGACAGCCCTTGGAGCACGTTTCGTGCGAGCCTGACCCTGCTGAGTATTTGGAAGTTAGTACTTCTGCATCCAGTCGATCGGTGAATACGTACTACATCAGCAGTTGGCTTTGTTGCGGCGCTTCCGCGAACGTCCTAATCAATAAGCGTAATGATGAGATCACCGTGGTCAGTTGACATCCATGAGACCAACCTTTGCCTGATTTCCGCCCTTCCTATTATTACGTGGCTTTTTTCCGTCCTCCTTCATATGGAACATATTCGCCGCCTCATCGATATCATCCTCCTCTGGGTGAGAGGTAGTGCCTGATGACGTTGCAGACCCTATCGGGGCCACCGTTGTTTTGACCTTTCTGGTGGTCCTACGGCTGCCCTTTCCCTTCTTTTCCTGAACATCACGATCGAATCGAACCACCTTCTCGCGCTTCACCGATGTGCCCACCGCTGGACTGCTGGGCTTGTACTGTCCCACTATATTGTCAATCATATTGTCTACTGAAACCTTGTGAACCGCAGTCGTATCACCACACATGTCCTGGTCCTTGCAAAATAATTTATGGTATTCCACAAGACTGACTGAATGAGTGGATCAGCATGAATGAAACAGTCACATATATGGCTGTCACGCACGCGTCTTGATTATCATAGAGACCTTCTGCTTTTTCTTAAAATCAGCCCATGAGCGTTTCATCCGTCTCAGGGTGGCATTCTGCATTGTCTTGTCGAATGCGTCGCCGTGAGATGCCATCGTAAAATGGTAGTCGAGATGAGCCGAACGCCATGTTTTGTCCGAGCCAGGGGCATCATCCTGGACCTCTTTGCAGAACGCCAGCAGTACCTCACAGTAGTAATACGTGATTGACTCGTAGGTAGTGGTGACAGATTCAGGTGAATTCTCCAGCTCAAGGAGCGCCCGGCAGGTACGCTGATATATACCAATGTGATGAAGCAGTAGCCGTAACGCAGCGTAGCATTGATTCGGCACGGTCACCTATATATTCCCATTGTATCGGCCAATCAGGGACAGCGCGCACAAGATCACACACCTTTTTGTTGTTGATACAGAGAGTCAGGGTAGTGCCAGCCTGGGCCAATGAGAATTCGTAAGTCAATATAGTGTCTAGCACTTTCAGCGCGTGCTTTTGTATTTCAAGAACGATCGGATTCTCGGTAGAGTACTTCGACATATCCATCGTGCAACGATGTTGGTGGAAGGAGTTCACAATATGGCCGTGGGAAAATAATCATTGCCCTAACATTTGCGATCACGTGCGTAACTCGTTCATCCACTCACCATCTATCCATAGATTCAACATGATCACTCCTGGCCATTTCGGTGACTACTCACGCAAGACTGCGACTACGACGAGGCGTACGGCAAAGGCCAAGTCACTTCATTCGCCATATGAAAAGCTGACCCCCATTTTTACTGAGGGGGACGATGGCGTGGATATGACTATAGATGATGAAGTTGATGCTGGGCAGCAGTTAGAGCCACACGTACTCCAGAATGCCATTGATGTACGTATTATTTTCATCACCGTAGCGTGTGGCTATTAACCTATACGACAGCATTGTGTGTATTGTCAGGACGTTGGCTCATACATATGGAAGTGTACGAGCGAAGGTTGTGGGATTAGGGTTTGCGTTGGGAAGGCTAATGGAGATCACGGATGTATTGATGCGTCCCCAGACGAGCTCACGGGTAAGGTCCAGGTGGAAGAGACAACCTTTCGGTGTCCTCAATGTTATCGTGAGCAGTCGTTGCCACTCGCCATATGTCGTTCATTTCTCATTGATGAAATGCGCTCATTGACCTGGAACGTTCCTAGTACAAGATTCGTGGATATGCGGTGAGACAGGAGTTCATCCACCGCAACTACTTCCCCCTCCTGTCTGTGTTCTTATCATGGAGCGGCTTCGGTCGGGAATACGCTGCGGATGTTGTCCGACGGTCCCTCCAGGAACACTTCCACCTTGTTCCCTCTAGGGTAAGCCATTAGATATAATCACCCGAACCGTATTTAAAACTCTTGCCCGTAGTTGAGGATAGCCTCCCGCAAACTTAAAGGTGGCAATAACCGTCCAAACGCTGTCAAGCCTGATTTCGACTGGCTCGCGAGCCTCAAATACCATGGTAACCTGCTCGTGTTCATTGACACCCATTCAGATACCAACACCGGGGATCTTGTGGTTTCTGGCAATGCGACTAAATCAACTTCGGTGCCAGTACATGAGGTAAGCCACTCGACCACATACCCTACGGCAATTCTCAAGTTTCTTCACCGTCTCTCTCCTAGCTCTTAGAAAATTACATGGGAGTTCACCTGCAATCGGCGTCCCAAGAAATTCGAAGGTTGAATAACAACTGCATCGCCGGGCCATTCATTCGTGGGATCGTTCTTTGCTCCTGCGGATCTACGGGGAGAGTCACTTCGAGCGTCAATCGTTTGAAGAAGCTCGTTGAAATGTGAGTTAGAAGTGCAATTCTGTCGACGCTGGTTCTTATGTATCACGCACAGGGATATCTTCGATTTCGTTTTATCCTTTGCTGGCGTGTACACCGTGGATTCGCTTGTTGTCCCAGCGCTCGGTCGCTTCGTCGAAAACGTATACATATATGATATGGACCCATGGACGGCATTAGTCCAATCGTTCGGCGAGGATAAGCATGCCCTGAACAGCACCCCAGTCATGTTGTCGTTTGCGCAATTTCGGACTCTTCCCAACAATACCCAACAACGTGTCGTTGATACCCGCGTATTGGCGTACTCCAACTTCCCAGATGCCAGGCCATGGGGCCTCGACATGTATAGATGTTCCAACAAATGTTGTGGTGCCCTTGCTCATGACATGACCTTTTATCCCGATGGAAAGCAGTGGTATGGGAAGAGGTGGCTAGATACCGAGATGAAGACCACGTGCATGAAGTGCAAGCAAACGCAGAGGAAACTATCCGCTCCCTCATGGGTCTATGCATGCCCTGGTGAAAATCTCGGCCGTGTCTGGTACCGATGGCCCCTTAGCCTCGCCCAGCGCATGGACATTGGGATCACTGAATGAATCATGCCAATTGGTCACTGACGATGATGCGGAACAATGTTATACAACTGTCGCTATGTGTAGCTGTATGTACCATTCACCATCATGGTGAATAATGAAATGTCTTTTGTCGCTCAGTATTTTGTAGTCCTTCAAGTGCTTCTTAAGGATGGTAGCGTTGCCTGAGTGGCACATTAACTGTTCGTTGCCGATAATGGACTGCGAAATGTTTGATGTGACTGATAATGTATTTCTTGCGTCGTAGTTTCGCGTTCTTTATGATAGGCAGGGGATGATGTCTGGCAATGCAGTGATAGTGTCCCCCAGGATGCCCGCTTGGGTGATCTGTCACAGTCGGCCATTCACCATAAGATCTTCCTATATTGCATAGTGCACATATTCACATTCTATCTACACTGACATGGGCACAGTCATACAGACCGTCCTAAGTGCACCGCAGCCGGCGACTCAGCACAGTAAGTCATGTTTGTTCTTGTAGCGTGTGAAAGTCACGTGATGGTTGAAAATGCGTTTTTTTTTCAACTTTGCTCTTCTTCTCTCAACTTTTGTGTCTTTCTACATCCGTCTCCTTGCCGTATGTCCCTTTGGGGGCTCTGAGCTGTTGCTCTGGCATGGTCTCATGGATGATCCTCGTGTTCAGCGCCTTATGGGCGTATGACTGTTGTTTACGGTCGCACGCTGGGTCTTTTCCTTCTTCCTTTTAACTCTTCCATCTGTCTCAAGCCCTGTCTCCTTGCCGTATGTCCCTTTGGGGGCTCTGAGCTGTTGCTCTGGCATTGTTTGCATGGGTGGCCCTCGTGTTCAGCGCCTTATGGGCGTAAGACTGTTGTTTACGGTCGCACGCTGGGTCTTTTCCTTCGTTGTTTTCACTCTTCCTTTTATCTCAAGCCCTGTCTCCTTGCCGTATGTCCCTTTGGGGGCTCTGAGCTGTTGCTCTGGCATTGTTTGCATGGGTGGCCCTCGTGTTCAGCGCCTTATGGGCGTATGACTGTTGTTTACGGTCGCATGCTGGGTCTTTTCCTTCGTTGTTTTCACTCTTCCTTCTATCTCAAGCCCTGTCTCTTTGCCGTATGTCCCTTTGGGGGCTCTGAGCTGTTGCTCTGGCATTGTTTGCATGGGCGGCCCTCGTGTTCAGCGCCTTATGGGCGTAAGACTGTTGTTTACGGTCGCACGCTGGGTCTTTTCCTTCGTTGTTTTCACTCTTCCTTCTATCTCAAGCCCTGTCTCTTTGCCGTATGTCCCTTTGGGGGCTCTGAGCTGTTGCTCTGGCATTGTTTGCATGGGTGGCCCTCGTGTTCAGCGCCTTATGGGCGTAAGACTGTTGTTTACGGTCGCATGCTGGGTCTTTTCCTTCTTCATTTTCACTCTTCTATCTGTCTCAAGCCCTGTCTCTTTGCCGTATGTCCCTTTGGGGGCTCTGAGCCGTTGCTCTGGCATTGTTTGCATGGGTGGCCCTCGTGTTCAGCGCCTTATGGGCGTATGACTGTTGTTTACGGTCGCATGCTGGGTCTTTTCCTTTGTCGTTTTCCTTCTTCCATCCGTCTCAAGCCCTGTCTCTTTGCCGTATGTCCCTTTGGGGGCTCTGAGCTGTTGCTCTGGCATTGTTTGCATGGGCGGCCCTCGTGTTCAGCGCCTTATGGGCGTAAGACTGTTGTTTACGGTCGCACGCTGGGTCTTTTCCTTCGTTGTTTTCACTCTTCCTTCTATCTCAAGCCCTGTCTCCTTGCCGTATGTCCCTTTGGGGGCTCTGAGCTGTTGCTCTGGCATTGTTTGCATGGGCGGCCCTCGTGTTCAGCGCCTTATGGGCGTAAGACTGTTGTTTACGGTCGCATGCTGGGTCTTTTCCTTTGTTGTTTTCACTCTTCCATCCGTCTCAAGCCCTGTCTCCTTGCCGTATGTCCCTTTGGGGGCTTTGAGCTGTTGCTCTGGCATTGTTTGCATGGGCGACCCTCGTGTTCAGCGCCTTATGGGCGTAAGACTGTTGTTTACGGTCGCACGCTGGGTCTTTTGCTTTGTTTTCACTCTTCCATATGTCTCAATCTATGTCTCAATCCCTGTCTCCTTGCTGTCTCCTTGCTGTCTGTCCATAAATGTATAACATAAATTGTCAAGTGTATTGATTGATGTGTGATTGTGCTGTGAAAGCATCAGTGTTTTCGGTTTTCATCGCTGATCCACGGTTACTTGAGCCAGCACCAAAAGAAGGTAGGGCTGCTCAATTCTTGGGCTCACTTTGCGGGCTCAGCCCAGTAGAGTTCACTTGTCAAATATTGAGATTTTTAAAGCGTTGGTGATGCTGCTGAGAGAGAGCTGCAACTGATTCTGATGTGATACAGATGAATCCCCAGGCTGTGGTCCATCATGAATGTCGGTTCATATCTTATGATCTTGGATGGCCAGGATCCGTTCCTCATGTCCGTATTTTTGAATAGTGTTAGGATAGAGATCATGGGTCATAGTTGCAATACCAATAGAAATGTGCCATACCCTGCAGATCTGCAAACATATACTCTCATGCAGAACTCTCCAAGATGAAGTGGCTAAATGCCATGATGATCGCGGTCCGCTTATCAGTGTTGTTCCATCCATTGCTCCTCAGGAACTCATTCATATGACAGTTCTTAATATGGTCATTGGTAGATAATGTTGACGCTTCATAAGATATTGCTAACGTCTTGGGCATTACTAAGAAAATATCGGCGAAGGATTCCACGATGTTCGCCCAGGAGATTAGAATATACATTGACTCCAACGACAAACGAGGGGATGAGAAGAACAAGAACGAATACTCTCATAATCCACTCATCAATACGGGGGCGAAAAAGACAAACCATGGCCCAGCTCTATGGCCCCTGATCCGTGAAGTCAAGGTGCGGTGTAACGCCAAAGCTCTTTCCACGTTTGCCATTTTGGTTGATTTTCCCGTTGTTACCGATGTCAATGCTGCACGGAATAGTATTGCAAAGGACTATATGGAGAAGTGCAACTGCATCTGTATTCTGGTGCCTATGCTCAGCTAGATCGATCGAAGTTGGTTCATGAGTAAGGATGATATCCTCGCTAATTTTTCTCTGAACCTCTGCTTCGACATGAACAACTTGGTCTGCATTGTAGTAGGTCTTGATAATAAAGTCATCGGAAACCTGAAATGCTACAAATTGTTGGGTCGATTGTTGATTTCTAAATTGTCCAAATGAACTTAGCTGCATTGTCGACGCCTTCCTGAACGACTCGCTGTGTAAATTCGGTTTCAAAATAGCTAACCATTTCATGCAGGACTCTCCAATTCGAGGTGGCTAAAAGCCATGATAGTTGCAGACCGCTGATCAGTGCGGCTGCGGACTCCGAGAGTTCCAGAAAATTTGGGACAGAAGAAGAAACTCGGAAAGGCTCACATAAATAGATCGAAGTTGGTTCATGGGTAGGCATGATATCCTCGCTAATTTGTGCTTAACCTTCTGAGGCGGATAAGATCAGTGGTAAGATATTTACAGCATCACGCCGAAATGACAATGTCAAAATGGAATTCTCGTCAGCTGTCAATTCAATTGAACACAATCAGTGAGGCCAACATTGGTTACAAAAACATACATCTCAATCGCTTGGCAGTCGATGTTTGAAGGAGTGTGCCATTTCCGCGAGTGCATTTTGCCTTCTGACGGCTGGAAGTTCATTTTCCGACATTGGTACTTCCAGACTGCTCTTCAGCGGTGCGTCCTTCATACAGGACACGTACAGCCATACTCCTCAACACGATCGAGAAATACATGTCCAATGACATTCTGGGGCTGGCAAAAATGCTTTCCCGATCGATCCATTATGGTACTAGCGCTCAACTCCCCTCGGCGACAGAATTCACACGGTTGCTTCAACCACCTTTCTTGCATCATGAATTCATCGAAATACTACAGCAAGAAGCCTATTGTCCTTATTGTAAAGGCGAAACAGCCTGCGGATGCGATAGAGATCGCTTTGGAGCGACAATTCTCATTGAAAAAGGATGGAGATACCCTGAGTTTGTCTATCGGCCAGGAATCGGTGTGTGATTCTGGGTATGCTCTTTGTGATTGCTCAATGACATGTAAACACATAGGTTACGGTACCCACCCAATGCCACGATTCATTACGCCTACTCATTCATCATCACGATATTTATCGGCAGACTTCCACTGCGCTCTTGGCGCTGCCGCACCCATCACCACTTGTACCGATCTACTTTGCCATTACATTTTACTACTGCGAAGTGCTGCTGGCATTCCAGAAAGAGGTGATAGATGACGCACCTGGTTCAGACAAGACATGGCGCTCGGCACATCTCGATTATCATTTTGCGATGGCGTTAGATGACCACGCATTCAACCAGGAGAAACAAAAAGCAACGCTATCGAAGATCAAACGCACTTGGGCTGATTTCAAGAGGAAGAAGGGATATGAGCCAGTCGATCAGCGTGCGTAACATCCAGATCGTTATACCTTCCATCGTTTGCTGATCTCATCTATCAGTCAATATCATCGAGTACCACAAGCGGATGTGCAAAGGCAAGGACATGTGCGGTGATCCCTCTGCAAATCATCGTATATCGGTGTCAGATATGATTGCATCCATAGTAGCATCCGACATCGGCAGCACGCCAATGGTTGTTGATGCAGAGAAGGTCGAAAAGAATTTTCGGATCAATTCTGACCAAGAGGAGGACGACATCGACGAGGCTGCGAATATCTCGGAGATTCAGGCGGATGGACGGAAAGAGCGTCGACAGACGAAGGTCGGCCGTCGGGAAAAGGTTCGTATCAGTATATTCAATGAAATGCAGAGAGCTAACGACGTCGTTTGTCGATTAGGGTGCTCATGGACGCGTGGAGGCAACAACTGACAGTGTATGTACCCAACGATCTACATGATCCATATGTAATAATCATTGTTATCGATAGGTTGAGGGCCGCACGAACCGATCTTCCAGGAAGATAATCACTAGGGGCAAAGGGAAGGCGATTGTTGAGTCTGGGGGACAGGTATGTGCACCCATCCATGAGCCAGCGCTTCTTTGATTCACCCTGTTGCATAGGATGATACCCATAAATATGCCACACGCTCGACACCCGACATGGTACGAGCTGCGCACACAAAGGGAAAAGAGAAGGAGAGTATCGAGTCTGGTCACGAGGTCTGTGTGTCCAACTGCGAGCATAAGCTTTGTTAACTACCCTTGTCAACTAGTATGACAGAGGCGACACTATGTCTGACATGGATGGTATTGATGAGGGCGCACAGGCCACACCAGGAATACCAAGATTGATGGGTGTGCGAGCACCATCAGCAGCGGAGTCGGGCACTTTGAGAGGAGTCGATGAGGTGGGATCATCCATCAGTCGTTCCGGGCTATCGATTTACGTCTCCAATCTGATGATGTCAGGAGGGTGCTGGTGACTACGAGGATGCAGACCTCCCGTCCACCTTTGAGGACTGGGAGAACTGGAACCGGATCGCATTCCAGAACGGCAACTCACACATATTTCTGAAGCTTGGTACTTGGATACTACTTCGATTCCGACAGCTGGCGAATACGCCCATTGACGGGGATCTCGACGGGCTTCTGATTCCCGACCATCCTGCGCAATTCGACATAGAGGATAACGCCGATTTCCAGGAGGCACTAGGAATGACCCGTCTGTATTCTGCTCTCGCGCACATCGACACAAATCCAGAATATCTAGTCCACATCTTCCATGAGATCGGAAAGGCGTCCTCTGAGGAGCGACTTGGAAGCAGTCACCCTGGAATTAGACCCCTGCCAGAACTGCCGGCACCCATCAAGAGGTATGTGACTGGTCGGGAATATTTCACAACTAATCCAGAATCTAGCATGATCTTGAACGACCAGCCACCTTGGTTGAAGACTTTTCCCCTCGATCACGAGGTACACGACGATGAACAGGATGACCAGCATGCCGAAGATCATGTCGACGATTATGGTGGAGGTGTATCAGGGGCCCTCAATGAGATGGTAATCTCTGGTGCGCAAGAGCCAGGGGACATTTCAGAATGGCAGGATACACAAGCACGCAAGAGGCCGCTGTCAAGCACGCTGTATCTACAAAAGGTGAAGTACCTGTGTTTTAATATCTGCTGGTGACGTCCTGACCATCCCCAAACCCCGTAACACAGAGGGAAGGCAGACATGCATTTGCAAAGCGCACGAAGAGCAGTACAGCAAAGTCATTCATCCATCCTTCATCACCGGTCGTGCCACCCATTGCACCACATGCAACGGCCACTTCAAAGGTCATCATTGTTCCAACGACTGAGCCATCTCGAATGGAGACTGTCATCGTTGCACCGCCCTCGATAGCATTCGGATCTCACATCATTCACGACTATGATATGAACGCTGTCAGTGACTCGATGCATAAACGCAGCCAGGATAATACGAGCGAGCCGAGTGAAATTGGGTTGGCGAGTGAGAGTGAGAAGGACTCTGACATGCAAATATCGTCGGCCTCGGAGGTACATGAGGCAGTGGAGCAAATCGATGATTATGAGGAAGCCAGCTCTGCCTCTGACATCATCTCCATGGAAGATGACGGTGCTGGGGAGTCAGACTCGCCCCAGAAGCCTACTAACAACGTTAGGAAGACCAGGGAAGGTACTGCGAGACCGGAATTATAATCCACAGCCGGGCAATCAAGGCTGCGGGAAGATGTGAGGTTTCTTGTTGCTTAAAATCTAAAATGACTTTACGAATTAACTCGCAGCGGTGTATTAGCAGGAAAGACAGATATCTCGGACGCTGAAATGTTTTACTGTATGTTGTTGATATCTCACATGTTCAGTTCATATATCCTGCCTGCCTCGTTTACCGATTCATGCCTATAACGCTGATCAGCACGTAGTAGTTGTGGTGGGTGATGGTGGTCCCTCCTTCTCCTGCCCGCCTTAAAAGAGGAAGCAGAAAAGGAGAAGATAATGGCGGAGAGACGGGGGAGAGAGTTCAAACCACAAGTATAAGCCACCATGCCTGTCGGATGATGAGCTGTAGGATATTAATTGCTGTCAGACTTCTAAGCTCAAGGAGGTGGTAGTTTAGATAAATCGATTATATTTCGGTGTGGAGAGTCGGAAACTGGGGCTGAATGAATACCATCTTCCATGCACAGTCCAAATCAAGAGACCCACTGAGGGTTACTTGACCCTATTAGAGACTGATTTCTGCGCTGCACTGCCCGTTGGGCATCAAGGATACTTTTGGGAGGGCACTGGGCCTTCAATGATCGAAGAGTGGGTGTGGGCTCACTCGATAAATCACTGAGATCACGCTGTGGAGAGGCGGAAACTGGGGCTGAATGAGTCCCATTAATACACTCCTCTTTATATACACGCATTTACTAGTACAATCGTGTTGTATCAAATGTCCTGATCACAGGCGACTGTATCTAAGTCTGTGTTGGTAACCATTGGGCCGTGCTCCATTATAATAGGCGCAGGTAACAGATGTGCCGTCTCCTCAAACAACATCATGAACAAGGTAAAACACTCCTTGTGTTTCAGTGTGACAATAATACATAATAACGACTTCTCTTGGCGTTTTTGTTTGCCATTGTTTAGATGAAAAAATGATCAGGTCAGCGTGGAATGGTACAGGTAACAGATGTGCCGTCTCCTCAAACAACATCATGAACAAGGTAAAACACTCCTTGTGTTTCAGTGTGACAATAATACATAATAACGACTTCTCTTGGCGTTTTTGTTTGCCATTGTTTAGATGAAAAAATGATCAGGTCAGCGTGGAATGGTACATTGCGATATACCATCTACCATGCAACCCTACATTCCCCTCGAGATAATCATGAAAATATTGACTCTAGGCACTCGGTTGAGAGAGGATGCGGCATCATGGATTTTATTGTCAAAGCGGACATACACATGGTGAGCGATCGATGTAACACTGAATCAATGTCATCCTACTGATCGTTCTGTGGCAGGTTCGAGAGATTACTGTACGGAAGGATTGTTATTGTTGGTGAACGCCAGGCTTCACAATTCCTTCGATGTCTTTGCCTCAGGCAGATGCACGAGGAATTCGCCCGGACATCGATCAACGCCATGTTTCTCCATGGCGACATCCAGGGCACAACTATGATTGAGATATTGTCACTGTGCACAGGAATCAGCAACCTTGCCTTGGCGTCGAACACCGATCCGGTTCACAAGAACCTATCATTTCTACAACCAGTCCTGGATGCCCTCCCCCTTACTGCGCTGCATCTGCAAATCGGTTTCACTCTCACTGATTCTTCGATCGCCAATGTCAATGTCTTCTCTAGACTGACACATCTTGATATCGACGATCATGATTTCTTTCAGCATGTTCGCATCGAATCCTTCCCTCGGCTGACTCACCTTGCTCTCTGGGGTGACTTGATCCGCAGAGAGAACAAGATGGCGTCGTCGATCCAGCGACTTCTCAACCATCCAACAATGCAAGTGATTCTTCTTCGTTCCGATGATCACGGCCGATTGGCAGACTTCCTTGAGGAGCATGCGTTCAACGATCCTCGCATCGTCATCGGGCCCGAAAAGCAATATTCATGGGATTTTTTGGGACGCGGATACATGTTATTATGGGAGATAGCTGAGGCGAAGGCGAAGATTCTGGAGCCCAACCACAGTCAGTTCTTCCCTACGAGTATGAAACAACACGATGTACTGACCACATCACACAGACAAGCATCGCTGCTTCCCACCCAGCACTATCGTCAATGGATTGCACCAGTGTATGGACATTGAGAGCGTCCGACGACGGGATGTGAACTTTCAGCTGACTCGGTGCATCGTAATTGGGCGAGACATGAATGACCGGACATCTAGGATGTGCCGGGTTTTTCACCGTTACGGCCCTGATGATTGGAGCGATGATGACGGGGACGATGATTCGATGTCCAGTGGGGACTCTGACTCTCATGATGGATCGGACGAGGAGTACAGTACATAGGGTCGATGTGCCTTGTACTCAGTGTTTGTACGTTAGATCGTTGTCAGCATTTATGTTTGCATTATCTCGTCTAATGATCTCTCATGAAATTCCATCACAAATGATATAACAATATCAGTTGTGTCTGCGTTCATGCTCGCCTCCAAGGTCATATGCGACGATACTTACTCTAACAAGTCCTGGAGTAGAGTAGCTCAGGCCTCGTGGATGTGCTCTTGTTTTATTACCCACCTCTTCGCTTGTCCCAAGTATCCCCCATCGTCATCCAACTTCCAAATATCCCCCATCATCATCCAACTACCCAGTCAAGTTGCCTCATTTCATCGCATACGCCTTACATCGCACCAAGCTTCGTGCTCATCCAACTTCCAAATATCCCCCCATCATCATCCAACTAAGGCCTTGCGAATATGCGCTCGTTTCATTACCCACCTATTCGCTTGTCCCAAGTATCCCCCATCGTCATCCAACTTCCAAATATGCCCCATCGTCGAGATATTTGTAACTTCCAAATATCTCGACGATGGGGGATATTTGGGAGTTGGATGACGATGGGGGATATTTGGGAGTTGGATGACGGCCTCGCGGATGTCCGCTCGGTTTATTACCCACCTCTTCGCTTGTCCCAAGTATCCCCCATCGTCATCCAACTCCCAAATATACCCCACCGTCATCTTCATGCTCGCCTCTAAGGTCATATGCGACGATACTTACTCTAACAAGTCCTAGAGTATAGTAGCTCAGGCCTCGTGGATGTGCGGTCGGTTTATTACCCACCTCTTCGCTTGTCCCAAGTATCCCCCATCGTCATCCAACTCCCAAATATCCCCTATCATCACCCAACTTCCAAATATGCCCCATAGTCGAGATATTTGTAGCTTCCAAATATCTCGACGATGGGGGATATTTGGGAGTTGGATGACGATGGGGGATATTTGGAAGTTGGATGAGCATGGAGTTTGGTGCGATGTAAGGCGTATGCGATGAAATGAGGCAACTTGACTTGGGAGTTGGATGATGATGGGCTCTTCGCTTGTCCCAAGTATCCCTTATCGTCATCCAACTTCCAAATATCCTACATATTTCGATGTTGGATGACGATGGGGGATATTTGGGAGTTGGATGACGGCCTCGCGGATGTCCGCTCGGTTTATTACCCACCTCTTCGCTTGTCCCAAGTATCCCCCATCGTCATCCAACTCCCAAGTATCCCCCATCGTCATCCAACTCCCAAATATCCCCCATCGGCGAGATATTTGGAAGTTACAAATATCTCGATGATGGGGCATATTTGGAAGTTGATTGATGATGGGGGATATTTGGTAGTTGGACGACGATGGGGGATATTTGGAAGTTGGATGACGATGGGGGATACTTGGGACAAGCGAAGAGGTGGGTAATAAAACAAGAGCACATCCACGAGGCCTGAGCTACTCTACTCCAGGACTTGTTAGAGTAAGTATCGTCGCATATGACCTTGGAGGCGAGCATGAACGCAGACACAACTGATATTGTTATATCATTTGTGATGGAATTTCATGAGAGATCATTAGACGAGATAATGCAAACATAAATGCTGACAACGATCTAACGTACAAACACTGAGTACAAGGCACATCGACCCTATGTACTGTACTATCCCCCATCGTCAACTCCCCAGTCAAATTGCCTCATTTTATCGCATACGCCTTACATCGCACCAAACTCCATGCTTCGGCCACGCTTGTGGTGCCACTGCCACTACTCTGTTACCGCTGCTGACGTTAGATTATGCAATGTTTGTTCTTGTAGCGTGTGAAAAACACGTGATGGTTGAAAATGCGTTTTTTTTCAACTCTCGCTCTTCTTCTCTCCACTGTCGTGTCTTTCTACATCCGTCTCCTTGCCGTATGTCCCTTTGGGGGCTCTGAGCTGTTGCTCTGGCATGGCCTCATGGATGATCCTCGTGTTCAGCACCTTATGGGCGTAAGACTGTTGTTTACGGTCGCACGCTGGATCTTTTCCTTCTTTGTTTTCCTTCTTCCATCCGTCTCAAGCCCTGTCTCCTTGCCGTATGTCCCTTTGGGGGCTCTGAGCTGTTGCTCTGGCATTGTTTGCATGGGCGGCCCTCGTGTTCAGCGCCTTATGGGCGTAAGACTGTTGTTTACGGTCGCATGCTGGGTCTTTTCCTTCGTTGTTTTCACTCTTCCTTCTGTCTCAAGCCCTGTCTCTTTGCCGTATGTCCCTTTGGGGACTCTGAGCTGTTGCTCTGGCATTGTTTGCATGGGCGGCCCTCATGTTCAGCGCCTTATGGGCGTATGACTGTTGTTTACGGTCGCATGCTGGGTCTTTTCCTTCGTTGTTTTCACTCTTCCTTCTGTCTCAAGCCCTGTCTCTTTGCCGTATGTCCCTTTGGGGGCTCTGAGCTGTTGCTCTGGCATCGTTTTCATGGGCGGCCCTCGTGTTCAGCGCCTTATGGGCGTAAGACTGTTGTTTACGGTCGCATGCTGGGTCTTTTCTTTTGTTATCACTCTTCCATCTGTTTGAATCCCTGTCTCCTTGCCCTTGCTCCTATTTGCGGCTATGTTAGGGTTAGTTTCTGGTCCTCCATAAGGCTGAGCAGGGCGAGAACCAGTAGTATGGGCTTGAGACATAGTAGTGACCATGCAGTATCCTGTGGATTGTATTTCAACTATTTATTTCTGAAGTATATTCCGTCGTTGTGCCTCATGAAGCCCTACTATCATGCTCAGCATCAGCAACTAAGGCCGGCCATTTGGTGTAGTGAACTCCAACCCATTTCATGTTACTCGGACCCACTCATCGCTTGCTTTTACTGCCTCTCATCTTTTTTCAATCACTGATCGTTATATATAGCTAGTGGCCGAGTCATTACATCACGCTCCAGGACGACATATACAATCACAAGAGTTCGCAGCTCGCACTTTCTACACTCCTATGATCGTGCAACTCACTCTGTATCGATCACTGATCGTCATGTATGGCTAGCAGGCCGAGTCATTACATCACGCTCAAGGACGACATATACAATCACAACAGGTCGCAGCTCACAGCTTGCAATTTCTACACTACTACGCTCGTGCAACTCGTTCTGTCTCGATCCCCGCCGCAGTATATGTTCTTGTAGCGCACTGCAGAATGTGGGACTCGTTGGTAGAACAGAACGGAAGAAGTGAAAATGAAAGTCGCGGATCGAGAAATGGTGAACATATATTGTACAAGTTCTGTGTGAAATCTGCATTGTATTAGTACCGTGCTTCTATCCGTGTATGCAAGGCGCGATCAAATGGATTATCATCATGAAGACAGGGCAGCTTTTTGTTCCTGACACTTGTGCCATAACGTGCCATGCCGTGCATGAGACAGCTCAAATCGAACTGCGAGGCTTGAGTGGGGTATCAACAGCGTGTTCCCTGGGACATACATCACTGGGTGTAAGATGAGTGGGATCCAGAGGAGAACCCGTCCATCGGGACCTACAACCCATCCCTCATCGTTCGCGGTGAGAGAGGCTGAGCACAATGGCGTTGCAGTCGTGTTGCAGTTGTATCACTGTGCGCTGCCTGCAGATCAGAGTCCAGGTTAGAATTGTGCTCGAATATATTCCGGCGCTTAACTCACCAATATTCTCTACAACATCCCCTCTGCCCGCACTCATGCCAATTCCTGCACTTGTATTTGCACCCGCGTTTACCCTGGTACTTGCCCTCGTGGCTGCACTCGCACTCGCAACTGTATTCGCACTTGCATGTGCATTTGCACCTACAGCAGGATCCATACTGGTAGTTACAGCTGTAGCTCCCGCACTCGCACTGGGACTCACCACCTCCCCAACGGGCGTGGCTGAAGAAGAAGGCGGCGACGCAGCTGAGGACAATGCAGATAACGCAGAAGCAAGGGACGATGCACCGCTGCGTCGTCCCTCACCGTGACTTCTACGCATAGACTTTGGGCATGGACGTTTGTGCTGCAAAGGAGAAAGATGGTCGAATGAGCTCGAGTCCATAACACACGACGAGAGGACTTACCAATGTATAGCAAACACCGCACGCATTACAATTGAACTCATCGTTCAAACCTCTTCTCCACAGCGGCGTATGAGTTTCACCACAGTTGGTGCACTCGGAATTCACGCCGCCGGATACAGTGATTGTTGCTTTTCTGCCCGGCGCAGTGCCCCCGAGTGTGAGGAGCGACGGTTTAAGCCCAGTAAAAGTCGGACATAGGCTATTCCACGCAGAACTACGGAATTAAATTTTATAAATGTAAATTATCGTTACTTCGACGGAATTCGACTTAGCTTGATCATGTGATCAATTGTGTTGATCGAATTGCGTATGCAGTGTGCAGTGTAACGTTCAACATTTGTTCAACAACGTCGCGTCAGCACACCTCAGTCTCACCATAAAACTGATCAACACACCTTACGGTGCCAGCTGCACATCACAACTTTGTGTTTGCCGTGTAACTCCCTTTGGTGTGCCGGGGGGCGAAAAGCATCACAAGGCGGAGCTGGCGCTCTGCACTCGTAACAAGAAGCGATTAAAATACTGGTAAGCCTTTGGGTACTTTTCGCGCGCGCTAGTACTAAGTTATATTTCTTCTAGCATATCCCATATCATCTTTCCAATGTCAGATGTGCACTGGTGTGTTTGCATGAAATACTGCCTTAACCCATCCGGCCTTGTGCTCATCTATCAAATCATCTCGCACCTGAATGCCTTCGTGTTGGATCGCCTATTTGCTCTTCGCGATGGACAATGGAGAGGACATTTGCAGATATTGAATTTGATCTCCGCCAACCCAAACTTCCCTATGCATGTCTAACTCAAGTTTGCCTCATCCGATGTCAAATAAACGCTGTGAAAGCGATGTTCCCCCATCTCCAACCACCTTCTAATCTCCATCCGCGGTATTCATTTGATGTTGGAGATGGGTATGTCTTACTGCGAGCACGAGAGAAACGGCCAAGGTATCCAGACACAGACGCAGAGAAAAGACTGATATCTGTATTTCTGGGCCGTAATGCACCAAAGATGTATCGGTGGTCACGCCTTCGGCTCCCAAATGGACAAGCTGCCCGCTCAGCATGGAAGGAAGCACTGAGACCTCCAGAAAAAACACGGATGTCTCGAAATGTCAAGGTACTTCATATATTTATCGTGTGTTCTCAAATTAATTAATATTCTCAGCTTGAGATTGACGGAATGACTTGCTATGGGGAGGTGCAATATTTCACACAGCTCGCCATTCGAAATGATGTTGAACCTGGTGACGATGAGGACCCTGAAGATTTTGTCCGCCAACTACAGGGTACACAGGCAACATGGCGATTCAGGACTGTTGCACTTGTTTCATTATATTCAGCACCTTACAAACAGCTTCTTGAATTGTCGCACCAGACGGTTTGGTCTTGCACGAATCAAGGTGAAGTAGGCCTTCGCATCGTAGATGTTACCAATATCCAGGCCGTTGTCACAGTTATTCCTCACCGGCCTACTTTACCATCTGGAGTAACCGAGGACCGAGTCTTTGTTATTGAAAAGACCGGGCTCGATGTATCATATACTGGAGTATTTGCTGAAGAGGATGATAACGATAATGAGCGAGAAGAATAGAAGTACTTGTTCCTATGGTGCTCTTATATTACCAAGAGAAGTTTTCGGTAACATTTCATGAATACATTGAGCAAGCAGTAGCGACAAGGTTCTATCTCGCTAATAGTAATACAGGTATTTGTTGCGTGCAATTAGAAGAGGTCTACAAGATAAATGCAATGGAAGAGACAACAAAACGTTACAAGTGCGACAAAACAATCAGACGAGGGGGAATGTGAGTTTGTAAAGGGGTTTCTCCAAGCCTCTCGCCGAGTCTTCATGCTCTTGCCTAATAACATCCATTTTTGCGACCTCAGAAGTGATATTGGAAGCTGGAAAAGGATGGACGAGATAACGCCAAGGAGCAGTTGGATTTTCCAGGTCTCGGTTTGGATTGCCAATACGTCTCGTGAGCATCCTACAGGGAGACACTTCACATGTCCTGCAAGAAATAAGTCAGTTGTAAAAATATGGCACAGCATATGGCAAAATGTACTGAGGAAAAAGGTCTGAGTCCTCTAACTTAACCTTCGTACCAAGCTCCTCAGGTATGAGTGTAACATCACCATCCTCGACCTTGACTATGCCCTGGAGTCCCTCCTCTTCAACATCCTCCTTGGTCTTGATCACAGGTGCTTTCAAGCGAAAAACAATTTCTTAAGTTGTATGTATGAGCTAGGCAGTAATACCAATAGGATGAGTTTACCTTGAGACCAGGAGATTTGATGTCAATATGACAGCAGTATGTGTTCCAAATGGGATCGAGGTTATCGATGTCGAGGACAATGACGTCCTCAAGCATACTAACAGATGATACACTGACTGGCATTGGGGTATTTGATGAAATCGACACAAAAAACTTGGTACTCTAAATGAAAGCCACCGACTCGAGGACTCATAACGGAATATTCCAGCGGAGGCAGAATTCTAATTGCCCTTGGACGATACCGATGCCCCTTTCCTTAATACCTCTACACGATTTTCACTCATTCGGTTCTCACTTATTTTTCTATGTCTATCATGTCGGATGAACACTACCAGCCTCAGGCTCAAGATTTCCGCCGCATGAATCAATTATACGAGAATAACCACCAGCTCCCAGGCCATGCTAATGCACAATTTCCCTTTCTCGTACCTTCGCAGGGTCAGCTGAATCAAGGCTGGAATGGCCCTTCGCATCACGGTGGAAGCTTTCCAAACAATACAGTAAGATTGAATATCTTTTATTATGTTCAAAACAGCGCATATAACCACTCACGGCATACATTCACGCAAATCCAAGACGAAAATATTCGTCTGCGATTTGTCAATGAACATTTGAATCATCAAATTTTGACCCTTACTGCATCCCGAGATGCTTACCAGTTTGCTTTCTCCTGTTATTTTCAGCAGCTTAACAAACCCCAAGCTTAGAGCTGCATTTGAAACTTTATCGCACTCACTTTCACTTTCACTATCAGACGATATTTCATTGTATTCAGGCTCCCACGCACTACTTCAACCACTCAAAATCCCTGACGCTATCGAATGCAACCCCATCAATGGTCTACGAAAGGAAGACTACCCTCTCGTCAATTTTTGGACACACGAAGACTTCACGAAATGGGACAGCGCTGCTGATGCACAAGGTGATCAGCGGGGATCATCACCATTCCTCGAGCATACAAATGGAGACCCTGTCACAGCATCCGAGCAACGCACCATCATGAAGACTTTTCGCGCAGTCTGGTTTGGCCTCTAACAACGTGGAATAGCACCGATATCATGGGGTCGAGCAATCCCCGATGCTCGCAATGCACTCTACAAAGAAGTGTCTCGCATACACCCTGAATTAGCCCTTTGTGACAGGTACTGGAAGATCGAGCATGTCGCTAGAGATCGCTACCCATCGTGGGCATCTACTCATCTCAAGGAAGGATATTCTTCGTCTACTGACCCCGAGGAGATGAAACCACGTATAAAGCCACAAAAGCGAAAGGCGAGGATGGTCGAGTCTTCCGATACCTGTTCAAAACACGATTCGAAACGTGCGAAAACAGCTGACATGGACTTGGAGGCTCACGACTCAGAGCCACCCGAGATCTCTTCTTCAAACATCGAGTCTCCCAATCCACCTTCATCATCTAGAGCAACTCTTTTGCTGCCACTGTCGCCGAGCCCAAAGCCTCAGACAAACAACCCAGTACGTTCAGTAGTTATCTGCATTCATGCTATCTGAACTACTTTATTCGCAACAGCCAAAAACCCTATTTGCTCCAATTCGAAACCCTTTGTGAGTACTTTTCTGCTCAATATACCTACTACATTGACGAACTTTGGCTTTCAGAAAAGATGCCATTATCCGCCTAAAGGAAAAGAAAAATAACGAGCCTCGTGATGCATTGCCGACACCCCCAATTGCTCTCGCCGATACCGCGATGACACCAACTGCAGCACCCGCTGACACCAATTCTGCAATATCTTCCGCTGATGCCCCTGCAACACCGACAGCATCCGATCCGACAACATCGCTCACGCTACCAACACCATCTGCAGACGACACAAACGCACCTCATGCAGATACTGTCGACCTTCCTAGTGTTTCTGCAGCAACACCGATCGAGGCTCGTGGCACATCTACACCCTCCGAGTCTGTGACCTTACAAGTCGTGAATGCCGACTCGCAAGGAAAGCCTGGTCCTACCAGCAAGAACTTCCGCCCTGCAACTACGAAGAACGGGAGGTGAGTCTCACTAGTACTAAGATTCTCATTTGACGTTGCTAACATAGCTTCACAACAGAACTCTTTGTGCACATCGCTGGCTCAAACAAGTAGCACCCAATGGCTACTCTCGAGATTTCAAATTATACTGGGACTCGCTGGGCAAAGACCGTCAGGAGGTGTGTTTATCTTCGCTCTGCCATTTGCACGACTAACTTATAGTGTTCTTCTGCAGAAATATGAAACAGACGCAAAAAAACTGGTGAGTGGTACCATATTTTCCGAGTGTACTGATGTGTCTCCCTTTCAGATATCTGATGGCATTTGGACCGGCAGCACTGTCGAAGTGATCGGTAAGTTCTCCAGCAGTATATTGTACTAGCACAGCAGCAGCATCAGGCAGAAGGGGCAGGTACGAGCGTGAGCGCAGGGGCGGGTACGAGCGCGGGTGGTTTTTAATGGCATGTTTCGTATTGTATGCTATGTTGCAATGCATCGATTTCCGTATATTTGCATCGAAGCCAGCAAGATATCAAAGGGACATATATATGGAAAGCCAGACAACCGCGCTCAATTTTTCTTGTGCATGCTTCTCCCGACGTACCATATAAGGTATATGCTTCTACGGGACATCTGCCACTGCGAATCAGACAGTGTACACAGGTTAACTTTCCTGATAGTCAGAGATATACGCCAATCCTCCTGTCTTCTTGGAGACTCTCTTCAGATATGCTATGAACGCTTGGGACGTCCTGTGGTCAATCGAAAATCAGCTTGGACAGTTTATTTAGGTTTGCTTCGCATATTTGCTGCTTCCATTGAAACACTACCTCGGATGCCGCCCTCCGACTCTAGCGAAGGAGACGAAGATCTGCCGCTCGTTCAGGAGCATCGAGACCTGCCATTTTATGAAGAAACCAATGGGTATTGCTATATGGGCGGGGTTCGTGGAGGACTCGGGCTCGGTGAGCATCTCTCAGTGAAAATGTGAGCCCACGCTAACAGTTGATCATTAGATAACGGGCATCATCAATTACTCGACAGCCTTACTCAGGAGGACGAACCTACAGAAGCTGACTGCCTTATATGGTGTGTCGGGAGAAGTATGCACGAGAGAAGTTGAGCGCAGTTGTCTGGCTTTCCATACATATAGTTATATTCAGATCTACGGAATTCTATGTAGTAATCAGTGCGTCGAAAAGCATATACGAGCGCCAATGCGCGTTGGTTTCACAGCTACGGAGAGCGCAGATACCGACGCATGTCTACGCGATTCAACGTGCCATAGCCACAGTAGATTTGCGTGGCCGCGCGTGGAATAGCCCATGTCCGACCTTCACTGGGGGTTAAGGCTCGTTGATGTAGCCGAGGCAGCTACCGTTGCAGTTGCAGAAGGTTTCACGGTCGCAGCAGCAGAGTGCTTGGCCGCAGACGCAGACGCGGACGGGTCAGTGGCAGCAGACGAGGGAATATTGATGCTTGTAAGAGGTACTCCGTCCAACTTTACTATTCTTCTTCGTAGAAGAAGTCTGAACGGTAAGTACAGGGCGGTTAGTGGGCGTGTGCTTGGTGAAAGCCTGTTCGAGCTCAATGACCTCATCGAGATCAGACAGGACGCCCCACTGCTCGAGTCTGGATTTAATGCTGGCGGCAACACTGTTGAGAGACGCGGATCGATCCGAATGACCAGGGGGACGAAGGTGCAGTGCAGCACAATGGAGTTTAATAGCCTCCTCAAGGTCAGACAGGACGCCCCGGTACTTGAACCTGTCTCTCAGGCTGATGGAAAAATTGTCGAGGGAGTCGGATCGATCAAAATGACCTGATGGACGAAGGAGCAGCGCAGCCCAATGGAGCTCCATAGCCTCACCAAGGTCAGACAGGACGCACCGCTGTTCGAATCTGTCTCGAAGGCTGAAGTCGAGATTGTTGAGAGACGCGGATCGATTATAATTATCTGGGGGGCGGGCAAAGGAGCAGTGAAGCCCGTTGAGCTCAACAACCTCATCAGGGTCAGACAGGACGCAAAGTAACTTTTTTTATACATTTAGCATATATGTACAATTATTTCAAACTTTCAAACACATGTAATTTAAGTGCCGGCCCTTTCTTTCCACCGGTCAATCGTTACCCAAGAGCTTCCCTGCCCAGCGAAAAAGCTCAGGCTCTGGAGTAGGGCTGGGAAGGAAGAGCGGAAGCGGAGGAGGAGGAGGAGGCAAACGCAGACGCAAAACCAGACGCGGAAGCGGAGGAGCCGGAGGAGAAGGCGGTGGAGGAGGGGAAGGAGTGCGCGCCGCGGGGGCTACTCCTACCACCTTTAGGATAGGCTGTTGCCGCCATGTCAGCGTAAATCCTCGAGTTGACACCGTGCTGCAGGTGAATGTTCGGAGCGTTGCCGCTGAGAGCTTCGCTTTCTTCACGATAATCGTGGGGAGGTTCTAGACGATGGAATATTAAACGGTGAGGAGGAGGAGGAGGAGGAGGAGGAGGAGGAGGAATAAAAGACTTACCTTTTTGTCTTCCTCTCCCTCTGACTCGAACTTGCGCTTTCGCGGAAGTGTGAATGTTCGGAGCGTTGCCGCTGAGGGCTTCGCTTTCTTCACGATAATCGTGGGGAGGTTCTAGACGATGGAATATTAAACGGTGAGGAGGAGGAGGAGGAGGAGGAGGAGGAGGAGGAATAAAAGACTTACCTTTTTGTCTTCCTCTCCCTCTGACTCGAACTTGCGCTTTCGCGGAAGTGTGAATGTTCGGAGCGTTGCCGCTGAGGGCTTCGCTTTCTTCACGATAATCGTGGGGAGGTTCTAGACGATGGAATATTAAACGGTGAGGAGGAGGAGGAGGAGGAGGAGGAGGAGGAATAAAAGACTTACCTTTTTGTCTTCCTCTCCCTCTGACTCGAACTTGCGCTTTCGCGGAAGTGTGAATGTTCGGAGCGTTGCCGCTGAGGGCTTCGCTTTCTTCACGATAATCGTGGGGAGGTTCTAGACGATGGAATATTAAACGGTGAGGAGGAGGAGGAGGAGGAGGAGGAGGAGGAGGAGGAATAAAAGACTTACCTTTTTGTCTTCCTCTGCCTTTGACTTGAACTTGCGCATTGGCGGAAGCAGAACATATACCGAAGGTAGAACGTGGGGCATGATGGTTGAATAGTAGTAGTAGGTTGCGCAGAAAGAAAGATAAGAGAGGAAAATCGTAAGTACCGCAATTTATGTTGCGGTATTGTGGGTCCAGGCGCGTGACACCAAATGCGGCGTGGACAATACACTTCGTGGCCATTCCAAGTGCGGTGGACTTTACATTATTATTATTGAAATATTATTATACATATCGATGGCGTTGTATCTGCACATATATTATTTGCGCGTTTTCGGAGCCAGGAGCTGTCGCGGTGCGTATGCTTTGCGCACCCGAATCAAAGCCTTGTCGGCCAACGACGTTGTTCTGACAGCGTGCTCTGAATTTTCCGCTGAACATAAGCTATTTTCGCACATGCAGTTGGTGAGCTTGCCCATCGACGTTGACCGTATCGTCCATAACGGGACCACCTCGACACCTAGGGAGCTCGTGCGCTGTCGACAGCTTGGGTAAGATGTGTGTTAATAGTTGTGAAACGTCTTCAAGTATTATAGCGGGGGAACCACAGAAACACTGGTGTCAGGATAGGAACCGCTCACGCACCCAGAAGGCGCTTCGTTTTTCTATCACTCGAATCTTGTACATCTGCGGTCCGCTCTTGCAAGGCTTTGACTCATATATCTGACCAGTGAGTCTTCACTGGTGTCGATATTCAAGCCCTTGGAACTCCGGATAAAATGGATGAGGTTGTTGAGAAGGCATACGAAGAAGCGCTTAACGCAGGTATCGCCCTGGATCCATCCGTCGAGCTAGTTTGAACCTCGGGGGAGGATAATAGCAGAGAGAAATGGGGCTACTACTTTGTCGTTCCCAAAAAACGTGTCATATTCTGGTTCGAAGCCCACAGGTATAGTGAGCTCATGTGTAATATTCGAGGAGTAAAATGCAAAAGCCACGTCAGTGAGTTCTTTCCGTAGAATATCTTCCATTCTTGCTTCTTTCATTGCATCACACCCAGGGTATGCGCTAGAATCACAGTACTGGTTCGTATGGCCTCAGAAGTATGCATGTTCGCTAACTTGACTAAAGTCAATGCGCTGACACTTTATTACAGCTCTCTATTACCTCCCATTGCTTACACATCACGATCTTGCAAGGGGACACGTTGAGCTATATCCAAACAAATATTTCCTTCCGAAAGATGTCATTGTGAGACTGAAGGAAGTCGTCATGCGTACTCAGGCAGGTGAGTAAAGACTAATAAGTGTTTTACGCCATTTTACGCAATACCGGAATGATTCTTCATAGACAATATCATTTCTGAAACATGTTTAGCACCCTTTGCTTCGGATGAGGTTGCAAGTATGCTAAGCTTTATGGATTCTCTTATGAGTGAATAATTCCCTGAATTGTGGGGTCGTTGTTGACTGTCTTTTCAGGCAGTACTGAAAAGGAGCATGAGCATTCTGTGTGGATCGTCTGTGAGCCTAGGCATGGAAGGTCAGTTGATTTCTTCTAATATTTTCGCTGATTTCAGCGCGATTCATGGGAGAATTTTGTGAGCTCAGCCTTGTTGTAAGTGCTCCACGTCTCCTGATTGCTTTGCTAGGAAACGCCAATTTTGTAAATTTCTGCGGACAACCGGGAGCCCGACTTGACGCATACCAGTCAATTTCGACACCTGCTCGAAAAATATCCTTCTTCGCGTGATGAATTTTATCCTGTTTGGATCTCCTGATTCTCATAGCAAGGCTCTTCACAAGATATGGGTCGATCATACCATTTTTCAGCCGTGATGGAAAAAAATTATCAACAGGCTCAATTACCGTGATGTTTGCCGTTGATATCAGCTTTCTTGCGGTCCCATCCGTCCAGAATCAAACGCCTGTAATTATTGAATCTTATCCGTCCATGCTCTGTGCCGCAGGCTCGTTGGTGGTTTTACTTTCACTAATCAAACACCTGTAATTATTATATCTTATCTGTCCATGCTCTGTGCCACAGGCTAGTTGGCGGTTTCACTTTCACTAGCGTTGGCCAGACAAGTCAATGACAGTCGGTGAAACTGCGCTAAAGGCGTGGTAGGTTGTATTTTCGAATGTTTGACCTGCATATCTTACATCCACCAGGCCTCGTTCATGGCAGGAATGTCAAATTCTGTGCTCGACAACACACCCTGTATCTCAGTCCTACTTGCATATCGTCCCGTCCTACGAGCGTCTCACGATATATACGTTTTCATGCAAGAAGACAAAGTCATAAACAGTACTTTCCAGTGATCCTCAAATTTGTGCTTCAGAATTGGTCTCTTCATGTAAGCTTCCGCAGCGGTCCATGTTGCAAGGGATGTGAATTCAAATGATAAAGCTTCCTCACTTATTCAAAATACATAGCTCATCACTGTACGACCTTTGTCTGTTTTTCTGAATCTGACTCGGTTCGTGATGAAACTTTATGGGGTGATAGTTGAACGTACTACCGGTTGTTCTACTGGTCTATTGTCGGTGGCAGGCCAACATCAATCAAGGTGTCGCATGAGGCCGCCCTAATCGTCCAGCAACAGGTTCATATACGCACACACCCCTGTATTCTATCTCGGCTGGTTAATTGCAAGCCATGATATTTGGCACATCCTCTTCACGATCATTCACCGCTCCAAGCATGCTGCATGTTACAGCATATATATGCTGACATGGCGACCTTCACTTGTCAACATATGTAGTTTCCGCCCCCTAGCACATTGCAAGTACTCTTTATTTCATCCTAGGGATCTCGAATGCAGTTAATGCTTTCTCCCTCACTAGAACCATATAGGCGCCGGGACAACCCAATCCAAATGTTATCACCTGTCTTGTCTTGTTTGTCTCTGTTGTTTCTCCACATTCTATAACATTCTATAACATTCTGCGCTGCTTTTTCTTCGTTCTTTCTCCTACATTCTGTTGTGCAGCATCCCTTCTCGATAGTCCTGCAATGTCCTCTCTCCTTTCTTTACTACTTCACTGGGTCGCTTATCTGGGTAGTTACTTACCACCAAGCTTCTCTACTCTAACTGATGTAGTTTTTTCTTTAACATTTCTAGTGGTGACTTGCTCTTGCAAACCTGACACTAGCCAAGCAGTACATTCTGGGACTCGCAGACGATCTCTCGCTTTCCTAACCTATAATTTCCTTAATCTCTGGATGCTAATCGTCCCCATGACCGTCATCATCCTTCTCATTCTCCATGCATTCTACCTCAATTATCTTCAACGCACAACTGCCAATATGCTAAATGCTATTGAGCTTCAACATACCACCACTCCTCATAGATCCCATGCTAGACCTGAGCTTATTCTCCAGTCGCAGAGAATGACTGGTATGGGGCTTCCACAAATCAGATCAACCAGATCACCAAGCCCTCCTATGCTCGTCTTCTAACCTTGTATGACATTGAAGTCCTGGACATTCATGTTAGTATTGTACTATTTCTGCTTACACAGTTGTCTGATATGCTCCATATGGGCTAGCCTACTGTCATGTCAATAGTCATTCCATAGTCATTGGGACAGTCCAAAATATGAAGCAAGATAGCCTATTGCTACTTTAATAGTCACGGCCAGCCCAACATGTGTCCCTGGGCTATCCCACCATGCATCATGTAGACACTGTAGACACTGGGCTGAGCCAATATATATCCATTCCGTATATACCACCAGAAATAGCCCAGGTATATGATAAGAAAGACAAGGATAAGGAAGAAGAAAGACCAGGGCAGGAAAAAATCGAGAAAACGAGCGAAAGATGAGGATAAGGAATACAACATGATAAGACGTAAGAAAGCGAGTGAAGTCGAGCGATACCAGAGCGATAAAACAGCCAAAACAAGGCAAAATCAAGCCGAGTCGAAACCAGGTTTCGACCTCGACATCAAGGATCCGAATAGCAACAAAATAGCAAGAACGAAGCAAAATGAAGGCAAGTCGGAAGGAGGTTTTGACCTCGGCCCTATCTATATGCGGACGGCGCTTAGGTGCTAAGTGCCGCGGTCACAAAATCGATTTTTTTCGTCCCCTTCCTTCCACAATTTATATAGGACTATGTATCTCATCTTGTAGCCCTTGAAATTCTGCCCTCCCCACGCCAAAGTCTGGGTTCAAATGTTTGAGTATGTGTTGTGTATTACTATGTGCCAAAAGTTGCTGTTCCCACACGCTCTCGACTTGTTTCTGGCCTGCTCTCCTTTCACCACGACCCCTGGGCACCTCCACATGTTCTGGACTGGTTGAGACACTGCCAGCAATGACCCCGCAAAAAAAATCTCACCGCCCGCATCTTTTGTTCTTGCGCTATGCGCCAATCTTCTTTCTTGGCGCTCTGGAGGGAGGAGGAGGGCAAGGTGTGTCAGTATCTTTTTTTCCTGTTGGCTTCTCACTTAACGCTGTTAGTCACTCACTCTAGGGAGTCATAGCTACTCCCCGCACCACTCATCTCGCTGCCCGGACCTCTGGGTCCAACCCTATGGACTAATCTTCCTCCTTAGCGCTCTGGAGGGAGGAGGAAGACTTGGTGTGTCAGTATCTTTTTTTCCTGTTGGCTTCTCACTTAACGCTGTTTGTCACTCACTCTAGGGAGTCATAGCTACTCCCCGCACCACTCATCTCGCTGCCCGGACCTCTGGGTCCAACCCTATGGACCAATCTTCCTCCTTAGCGCTCTGGAGGGAGGAGGAAGACTTGGTGCGTCTGTATCTTTTTTTGACGTCGGTTTCTCACTTACCGCTGTTCACATCTCACTCTAGGGAGTCTTAGCTGCTCCCCGCACCACTCATCTCGCTGCCCGGACATCTGGGTCCCACCCTATGGACCAATCTTCCTCCTTAGCGCTCTAGAGGGAGGGGGGGGGGCAAGGTGCGTCTGTATCTTTTTTTCACATTACTTTCTCACTTAACGCTGTTAAAATATCACTCTATGGACTTCTAGCTACTCCCCGCACCACTCATCTTGCCGCCCGGACCTCTGGGTCCAACGCCATGCTTCAATATTCCTCCTGGGCGCTAGGTTAGGTTGGTTAGGCTTAGGTACGTCAGTCTCTTTATATCTCACTTCATGTTAGTCAGTTACTCACTCTAGGGACTCTTAGCTACTCCCCGCACCAGTTATTTCGCTTCCCAGACCTCTGGGTCAAACGCTATGCCTCAATCTTCCTCCTCGGCGCTCTATAGGGAGGGTTAGGCTTGGGTACGTCAGTCTTTGTTTATCATAACCGTTTCTCATAATTTAATAATGGTCTGGCTCGGTACGATACTAGTCAGTAACCCTGCCTTCACCTACCCTCCGGGAGGTCATTGTTGCCCAGCATCATCATTTGTACATCTATGAGATCTGTTAGTTATTAGTAGATCTATTCCCCAATGTATGCTTGCCCCTCGGTGAATTGAGAATTGTCTCAAGTGTAACAGCATCAG